TTCGATCCCAGTTTGTACGTGCCCAATCAACTCTATCTCCAAAACTACGCCCTCATATGCACGGCTGATTCACCGATAAGATTTCTACGATCGTACAAGTGGCGATTATCATGCTTTTTCGGCTGAATTCCTTTTAAGTTTCTACCGGAAAAATTTTTCGCAAGTGCTTTCCCAAGCAATCCGCGCCATCTGCAGGGATCAGGAGCGCATGTGTGGACACATTCCAATTACAACAGAAGGATCCCTTACAGAACACCTTAGATAGAGGCCATTTATTTTGAGTTTGTTCTTGAAATCGCGAAGAACCACTTTTTATAATCTATTTATCTAGCATTATTACTGCAATGCCCACATTAATGAGCACTGCTCTTAATGTTATGTGGAAGTGCCCTTAAAAGTAAGTAGCGTTTCCAACAGTTGACATAACTAGCGAGGAAAAAATTTATCTATTCTCTGAGAGAACGAGTGAAAAAAAATGGGAAAACACCTGGCTGTCCGAAGTCGTATCTTCGATCTCGAGCAATTTCACAGTAGTGGACATCTGCAAACAAAGAAGATCTTATCAACTGTCTCTTCCCTAGCTAAACAACTTCAAATAGCGATCTTCAAAACGCCATCAAACTACAGTCCTCATCATTGCGGACCGGTGGGGCGTGTCAGTGCGGCTCCGTCTTCCGCGGTGATGAAGTCGTTCTGCACCAGTTGTTGAAGCGGGCAAGTGATTACTGTATTATATCCTTCGTATTACTCGTTTTCTACCACTTTTTGTCGCATACGCGTTTCAACAAAAAGGCTGAGAACGGCTTCAACAGTGTGCGCACTCCTACTGGCTGACACGCCCCACCGGTCCGCAATGATGAGGACTGTAAACGTACAGAATCTTTAGAACCCTCAATAATAGGGGAAAAGGAATTTTGATACGGTTGAAAATGGAGAGAATACGGTTGCATAGGGAAAGAGATGAAGGGAATATGTTAGCTTGATATTGGACAGAAACCCCACGAACGATCATGATGACGACTTTTTAGTAGCTGGAATGCGATTGAGTCAGCGACGAATCCCATCTGCCATCGATGACCATCCGCTATTTCACAGGCAATTTGAAAATTCAATTCCTTCCAAAACTCGCTGCTAAGGGTTGAAAAAATAGACATTTGTAGAGCTAGATAAGGTCAATAGCAGCGAGGAAAGCTACTCTGAAGCAACACAATGGAGCGAACACCCCTGTGGAGAAAAAAAATAGTTACTTGCTTTACTGGAAGTTCTTTAGAATCGCTTGTCCAGAACTTCCAAAATGACAAGTTATCTATTGTTCATCTATTACTTATTTTTTGGAACCTATTCAGCTATCTTATGTGGATGGCTGGGGCACCTTGTCGTCTTTACGGTAGTGTCACTATTGAGGAACTCATGGTGGAGAGCATTCCATCATAGTTCCCGAAAACAATGCAGACTCTTGCTTGACTTTGACTCGCTTTGTCTAACCAAGAGTACAGTTATAGCGCTTATTGTTGAGAAAGCTGCAACATGTCGAAAGCTGCAAATGGCCACACAGTTAAATCAGCGGCGGTATTCGTATCGATTCAGTATGGAGTAGAATTGATATGAACCGTTGCTGCATGGATGAGTACATAGGGGCAATCGTATGCATCAAAGCGGTTGTGGCACGACGCCAATGGAAAACTCGTCCAAAAATGCTCGTTCAGTGCCGCACAACAAAGGTTTTTTTGCAGGTTTCTCGCCGTCTCCCCACCACTGAGCTTGAACTTGTCCCTGTCTTCGGATGTCTCTTCAGCTGTTCTTACAACAGATCTACGAATAAATCTTTTATCAATCAGTGATTGCACGACATCTCAGTATTGCTTCTTCCCAC